CTCTTTCAGGTGACTTCAAAGCGCGGGCGAATCTTGGCGCCAAGGATGCACCGGATACAACCGTATTTATCGATTTTATCCGGATAAAAGGGGGTTGTTACAAACAATTACATATTCGAAGCATGTTTAGTCTTGGTCATTGTATTGAGTGGAAATTGTTGAATTCCTATTTTTTGAATGAGTGAACCGTGTAGATACTGTTTTATTATTACAGGCCACACCCTACTGATTCTCGTGATACCCTTATTTTCTCCAAATTCACATTTTTTCGACAAAAAACTGTCCTTTGCGCAAAACGACCATTCTTAATTGGACAGAGGTAGTAGGTGAAAGTACCGGAATGGTAGCTGCGCGGTCAAAGGATTGGCGGAAAAGTGCAGAGGATATTTTGACCCAAATCGTCGGTAGTTGAGATGCTGACCGAGCAGACGCAGGATCGCCTGGATGTGAGCGCGTTCGTCTTCGAGAGTCGTTGGGAGTTCAAGATGCCGTCGAATTTGCGTGGACCATTCGAGAAGACTGCGCTCCACTGTAGACGGTACGTGAAGTTGCGAACAACTTTCATATTTGACCTTGTTCCGGTGGATCCAAATGCGACGCAACATGCCTCCGGTGAGTAGCGTCCACAGCAGTAAGAGTTCCGGTGCTGCGTGGGAGCATGCTGGAAGAGGTATGACTTTAGTGACGTCCAAAATGCAGGTCCAATCGAATCGTAATCCAAATTTTAGCCATGGTGCCGCCATCATATCCCAAACCGGGTGGGCGTAGAGCATGGTGAATAGTTTCGACGGTGTGACAGCTGCCGTAGGGACATTGCATGCAATTGGGGTGGACTAACTGCATGTGGTAGAAGCAGTAGCCAACAGGCAGTACCCGGAATTGCAGTCGAGTCCACACGTCAGCTTGTAACGGTGTTGCGACGGCAATGGTGCGACGGAACAGCTTAAGGTACGTTTGCAAGGCCTCCATGGTTCCGTGTGTTCGTAGTATGGGGCAGCAACATCCCAAGGTAGCGTATCGGACGGCCCGACGCTGCAAACGACAGGCCCCGCACAATCCGTATGGGCTGGTTGGAGTTCAGCACTAAGATTTCCGTCTTGTCGATGTTTAGTTTGGCCCACAACGCAGCACAATACTGGTTAACCAGCTCCAGTAGCTATTGTAGGTGAGCAATGCGCCCAGCCAACAACGTCGTGTCGTCCGCAAACCTCAAGGATTTTGCGGTATGATCGTGCGTAAGCTCGATGCCATAGTCCTCATGGTCTTGTAGGAGTTGGTTCAGAGGTTCCAGTGTCAAGACGAACAGCAGAGACGACAAGGGGTCTCCCTGCTTGACGCCACGGTTAGGGTGGATCGGTTACGACTTGAGACCGTTGATGCGGAGGTGAACCAAAGGATTCGTATACAGCAGCCTGACCCACGACATGAATTTAGATCCAAAGCCGAACTTCTTCAGCGTGTCGAACATGTAGGCCCAAGACACGCGATCGTACGCTTTGGCAAAGTCTAGGAAGGCTGCATACCCCTCCTGATCGCGAACCGTACGTGTGTTGTAGGTCGAGCATGAATACTGTGTGGTCGTGCAGGCGACGGCCGTGGACGAAGCCTTTTTGGGTCGGCAGAACCAGTTGTGGCAGCACCGACGACAGACGGTAAGCTAATGCACGGCAAAGGATCTTCACCTCCACCGGCATCAAACTAATCGGCCTGTAGTTGCCGGGGTCGGCGCGGTCGTTCTTCTTGAACAGTAGCACAACCTCGCTGGTACGCTGGCATTTTAACAACATGCCGCGGCTCAATTGGTAGTTGAACACGATGGCCAATATTTCGCCAAACAGCGTAGGTGCCACTTGGAAAAAGCAAGCCGGAAACCCATCGGGGCCTGGAGTGCGATGCGGTGCCATGGTTTTGATGCTGGACTCCAGCGCGGTACCGGTGACGTCAGCCTCTAATGCCTCTCTATCCTCATCTGACAGTCTTCGGCGTAGGACTCGGAGGAAGCGGCGCCGCATGGAACGATTAGGCGGAGTGGAGTTGTCGCGCATGACGCGTGACCATTGATTGACAAACTCGCGCTGAATGGTCGCTGGGTCTGTTGACAGCGTCCTATCATTTTGTTTCACTGCTCTGACCGGCGTTTTGTATAGGACTTTGGTCGGCGGGCGGAAGAATTGAGCCGTGGAGCGCTCATTCTTGTTTGCGTGGAAGTCGAAGGCGCGGTCGGTATGGTAAAGACGCCAGAGATCCTCGGTCTCGAGGTAGATTCTCTCTTCCTCCTCGAGGTCGTGGTCATTTGAATGACCTTCGCTGTGTAGACGCCGCGCTTCAGTCACGCGTGCGACCGCACTCGCTTTTTCCTTCAAGCAGTGCATTTTTGCAAAGCGGTGGGCGGATTGAAGGAATCGCCTGGTTCGCTTCTTCCAGGCATGCCACAGGACACCGGGATTGTGTGCGGTACGTATGTCTGTCAATAGGCGTGATGCCTCTGTCACGATGGCCTCACTGATCTGTGGATAGTGCACGATCTCTTTCGGCATTTTTCAGTAGCCTCTACCCATCGACTGGTGGACGTCCTCGAGCACCAGTGTGTGGATCGCATGATCACCTGCGACGTGTTTCGCTGGGCGATGGTAGTCGCTAGAGACCTAGCAGTCCCTCACCAGGTGCGTGTCGGCCAGGATATAGTCCAAACGGGTCTTGTTATGTGGTCCGGAGTAGGTTCGCGTCTCTCTGTAGTGCATACGCCACGCATCCATCACCCGGAGCGCGACCAGCCACTCGAGACAATTGCCACGACCCACGGCGTGATCGTGGTGCTGACGTTCCACGTCATGATACAAGTCGAGCGGTAAGTTTAAATCGCCCAGGACCACAAGTATGCTGTCGCCCGGAAAGTCGCGTGGTAGGCTGTCGAAGAACGCCGCCCTTTCGGCCGTTCGAACCGGGGCATACATGCAGTGAAAATTTACTGGGGTCTCCTGCCAATTTGTACTGACCACCATGTATTTGTAGGGCACGTCCAGCTCCGACAGATGTTGAAGGTCGCGGAAGCCTGGGAGTGTGTCGACGAAAACGAGTGCAACACCTCCACTTCGATGTGCTGGGTCCTCTTCTGGCGCGGGGACGTAGTTTGGTTCGGTACGTGGGTCAATTACAGCAAGGAAGAACTTGCCGTGTCCGAATGCGTGTTGAATGTGATAGGAAAGTGTCGACAGGTGATGTCTGTCCTTCAGTTTTGTTTCTTGTAGGGCCACTACGTTTGCTTGGCGGACAATGCTCTCAACAAAGGTATGCCCATTGTCGACTGACGAGATGCCATTGACATTGCACGTGAGGAATTTGACAGATGGGATGGATTGGTGTCGGTTTGACAGTAGGCGGAACTTAGTTCCGACGTGCCGGGGCCTCTAGACCCGGCTGGGTTAGCCGAAACGGTTCGTCCCATCCTTGCCTATAGACAAGAATGATCGTTGTCGTAGACTTGATTCCAATCCGTCATTCGCTGTAGCTGTTGTACCAGTCCATGCGCAGGTACACAGTCCACCAATCGTCCCAGAACGCAATGACCCACTGGTAATTGTAGGATGGTCAGTAGGGTATTCGGTGTTAGCAGACGCCCTGCGCCCGACGGCATCCACACGACGGGTTTGCCAGTCAAGCACAACACCCACTCGTCGCTCTGGAAAATGGTAGGAGCAACAATGCTCAACCACATCTCGAATAGGGATAGTGCATCCTCCGTGCGGAGTGGATGCGGCATAATTGGTTCGTGGGTGTTATCCACCGTACGTACTTTCATGCCCTCGCGTCGGCTCAACTGTTGGGTCATGCTGAGCTTCATTTTGCCGAAGATTTGTTTGCGCGTGTCCGCGAATGACTGCGCTGTATTCTCCGTAGATGCGGCAAACCAGCGCTGCCAGGTGTGCAGGTGGATCAGCGACTCAAACGTTGTTGGGTGCTCTGTCGCCATGGTATGCAATACGATGTTTGCTGAGAGGTGTTTCTTTGTAGTTGGGTCCAGACTTTGTCTCCCTGGCCCTATGCCCCGTGAGATCGTTGAGGGTGTCCGCTGCTGCGTCGCTAAAGGTGCGATCTATATCCTCGAGCTCGTCGTGGTATAGCTGTTGAGTGGACGTCTCAAGGATTTCGTGTAGGCGCTCAATTGACATCGACTCAACGTCAAAGGATAGTGCATTTCCGACTTGTTGGTATGTCGTGATGCACTCCTTAGATCCTCCACTGACAAGAATTGACGTTGAAAGGTGGGGACAATTGTGACGATATCCTGCTTTTCCCTCCACTGCACGAACCGAAAACCTCAATTGTTGCGTCGGAGGACGTCAAAAAGTTCGGTGTCGCGAAGTCCTCCAGGGTTTTTGGCGCCGTGCGCGTTCGCTCCTTGCGTTTTCCACGACGCTGGACCACCTGGTACGGTTGGTCCACCTCCATGAATATATATGTGTCCTTGGAGTCGTCGATATCCATCTCACCGTCGTCCTCGTAGACATCAATGTGCTCATGAGGATCAGGCGTGGA